GAGCAAAAATGCAGATTTTTTTTAGAGTGTTGTATACTGGGTAAGTCACTGCACTCACCTCTCAATGAACTGGTTAAAGTGTTACTGAACCCACAGCAGTAAAATCACTCTGTATATGCAGTAAAGCTTGCTTGTTATACTCATTGTGGAACCTAAGGGGTTAATCCTCTGCATTGTGTAAAAAGGATGTTTGATCCTGACTTCTCTGATCCTCCCCCTCTTCCAGTGTTCCTCTTTTATCTTCTGACAAGACATATTGTGTTGGAGTTATTCTGCATATGCTCAGTTTGGTGTGCATTGCTATAGAGGTTTTTTTTCTTGGGAGAATGCATGTGATCAGCACAGGGTCAATCAGCACTGTCCAGGCAGAGGTCAAGGGTTTTGCATCTTCCTAGAGCAGAATGAAAACTCCTCCTACAATCTGTAGTCACATGCACATGCTCAGTTTGGTGTGTATTGCTAGAGAGGTTTTATTTTCTCTTGGGAGGGTATATGTGATCAGCACAGGGCCAATCAGCACTGTCCAGACAGAGGTCAGGGGTTTCACTTCCTTCTAGAGCAGAAAGAAAACTCCTCCTACAAGCTTTAACCAGTGCTCAGCTGAAGTCACAAGACTGCTCTAACTGCTGATGAGAAAAGGTATTTAGCAGTTTATATTAATGTAATTAATTGCATTTTCATGTTCTGTGTACTGTGGGAGACCGAATATAATGAATGCAGGGTCCTGGGTTTAGTAACAATTTAAGGCTGTATGAATATTTATTTTGCTCCCTTAGTCTATAAGCAGGGGCGTGTTTACCACAAGGCAAACATGGCACTTTCCTAGGGCAGCGTTTTTCAGGGGGACAAAAAAGAAGGGATAAAAGAAGGGACGCTAGCTGCATGGGAACCAAGTGGGATCCGAAGCTGCGGGCTGCTTAATGGTGTATGTAGAGCCTGACTCTCATTCCCGGGGATGTCTGGAGATGAAGATGAGTGTCTATGGGGGGGTAGTGGAAGGCTTTCTCCACGAGAGGGGCAAAGGGGGGGGGGGGGGGGATTGGTGTTGGTCGGTGTCCGTGGGGACGGACGAGTTTTGTGTTGCCTAGGGCAGCACAAAACCTAAATACACCAATGGGCATAAGATAATGTGTACAGAGAGCACACTCACTGCAAGTTCCAAGTATACTGACTGAGCTGTCACTGAGAGCTTGCTGTCAAGGTGTCTGATTGGTATCTAATGGAATGAGCTCCTAATCATGTGAACGCTGCCTCACGAGCATTAAAGCCCAGCTAAATGAGCACTGAGAGGTGGCATTAAGAGGTTAAACTTCAGCTTGAGTGTCAGGTGTTTGAGGTGTCAGTAAGGCCTCATTCACATGGGTATACCACACCATACATCCATGTGATGACTGTTTACCCACACAGGGATGCACAGAGGTTCATTCATGTCAATTGGGATGCAGTCGCTGCATGGACATAGTCGCCGACAGTGCGAGTTCGGCTTGAGTGCACAGAACACCCATGCATCCCCGTAAACACGGCCTTCTTATGGGTGTATTCTGTAGTACACCCATGTGAAGGAGGCGTAAAGCCTGGTACACACTATTGTTTTTTTTTTCATTCAGCCCGCTGGGCTGGCACCTCTGTACTAATTATCCAATGTTAGTACAGTGATCTCCCCTGCTTTGCTATTGTGTTCTGAGAGGGGGACGGCCGCCCGTCAGAGCACTCCTGTCAGTGTTCTCAGCCATTGGCAGAGCGCTGATTAGGAACCAATTGGCAGACCATTTTCATTCATGCCCCAAATGGCCATCTTCTGTCAGATCAGCTGCCCTACACACGGGCCTAAGGTCAGCCGGTTTCTATTGAACCAGCCGATGCCACCTGTGTGAAGCTCAGAGAAAGGGAATAAAGTGAAATAAGGGTGCAGTCCAGTTTTGAACAGCTCTCTGCAAACAAATATGAAATTCAAGGCATTAGACAACTTTTGACATTTTGTACCTGTTTGTTGATGTTTTAGATTAGCAGTTAACGGATATTAAAAAAAGAAGAGAAATTCCCTTACGACATCTAAACTGGGTCAAATACAAATGGCCTCTCAGTAAGTGAATTAGCAGGAGGTTTGTGCAGACAGTCCATAGTTCCCATTGGCATGCCATTGCGTGGAGCGATTCTGATGAATTATAAAGAACATCAGCACAGTGAAGAAATCCACTTCATATTGCATTACTGTGACTGTAAGCCTTAGATGATTTCTCACCTCATTATTCTATGTATAGACTATAATTATCCCTGACAATGAGCCAAGGGCAGTATTTAATAAATGATACTTAGGTATGTATTTAGAATTCCAGTAGCCTTGCTGATTAGATAGATTATGAAGATTATCAACAAGGGTTTAGCCTAAGCTTAATAAAAATTGAATGTGTCATATATAAAGAGAGATAAGATTTGTACAGCAGACAGGCGTGGAAGAGACTGCTTTTACTCTTTACATTCATTCTGCCATTGCCCAGTAGTCAGCAGTGAAAAATGAATGGTTTGGGTGCTTTTTATTTAAACCTATGATAATTTTGCCAAATGCAGCCTGTCACCTGCAAAGAGGCAGCATGGAGATAGATGTCTCTGCTGTGTCCTGCACAAACAGAGGATTGTTCAACATGGCAGACTCAGCATAGTAAGGTAGTTTAGGCTCAAGGCTCAATTTTCAAAACTGTAAAGTGATTCTAAATTCTAAAGGCAGTTGTTTTTTTACCTTAATGCATTCTCTGCATTAAGGTAAAAAAAAAACCCCAGCCCTCTTATACTACCCTGAGCCCGATCTTGATCTAGCGTTGTGCATGAGCACAGCGGCTCTCTTGGCTTTTCTCTCCTCATGGGCTTATAGAGAGTCAATCACAGCCAATGAGGAGGGAGCAGGGAGTGGGGCCAAGCCAAGCTCTTTGTGTCAATGGATACACATAGTGGGGCTCAGTAAGTGACTTGTTATGGGGGCATTCAGTGGGAGAGGAGAAACCAGAAGCACTGACAGGGGACCTGAGGAGAGGAGGATTGTGGCTGCTCTGGCAAAACCATTTCACAGAGCAAGAAAATATAACTGTTTTTTTTATATTTAACAATCAGGAGTGCTTTATTAGAGAAAGGCATGATACATAACATTAAAGTGTTCCTAAACCCAGGACCCTGCATTCACTATATCTGGTCTCCCACAGTACACAGAACATGGAAATGCAATTATTTTAGTAAATAAAAACTGCTAAATACCTTTTCTCATCAGCATTTGGAGCAGTCTTGTGACTTCAGCTGTGCACTGGCTAAAGCTTGTAGGAGGAGTTTTCTTTCTGCTCTAGGAGAATGCAGAACCCCTGACCTCTGTCTGATTGGCTCTGTGCTGATCACATGCACTCTCCCAAGAAGAAAAGACCTCTAGCAATACACAATAAACTGAGCATGTGCAGAAGGGCTATGGGTTTTCTGTTATATTAGTCTGTCTTATCAGTGTAGACATTTGAACAAGATGAGGGGCAGAGAAGTCAGGATCAAACAGCCTTTTTACACAATGCAGAGGATTAACCCCTTAAGTTCCACAGTGAGTACAACAAGCATGCTTTACTGTTGTGGGTTTAGTAACACTTTAAAACAGAAAGACAAACAGTTGACAGAAGAAGTTTAAGGGATAACACATTATAAAAAAAAAAAAATCCAGTGTCACCACTTAAAATACATGCAGAATGTAATACATCATTCATGGGCTCAACCAAAACAGTGTTAGTATGAAGAGAAGCTCTAACTCCTCAGGGAGGGAGAATTTGATGGGGGGGGGGGGGGGGGACAAGAGAGCACGGACATTGAGGTGGGGAATAACTAGAAAATATATGTGAGAGCCAAGGGGTACACACACACCACCCAAATTACAGTTGGATGGGGAAGGGCCTAACCAGACCCATCCGATTGGGACACCCACGGCTGCCATACATAATCATATTTCCAGGGGCAACCTCGAGTAATATATGTCAGCTTGTAGAGGGGCTGAGCAGTGTTAATCATGGTTTCCCATGAGGACATGCCTGGGGATGCAGTAGATGTCCATTTACAAATGATTTCCTTCTTAGTGTAGAATAAAAGGTAAGAAATCAATAATTTACCACGATGGGGACGCTGACCGTCATCATGAATCCCTAAGAGAACCAACTCTGGAGCTTTAGGGATCGACAGCTGAAGTCTAAGGTTGATAGATCAAAAATGTCTGACCAAAAACCATTAATCCTAGGACATTCCCAAAACATGAAAATATGAGCCCAAATTAATCTGGCAACAAGGGCAATTTGGGTCCCTTTCCCGGTACATTTTTTTGTAGTCTCATAGGGGTATAGTATATGCGATGAATAAATTTAGTCTGGATTCATTTACCCATAGAGGAGACCACTAGTTTAGGGCATTGTTCAAGACAGTGCTCCCAATCTTCTCTATCCAGGGAAGGAATATCCCCGTTCCAGAGGTCCCATAACCTTTCAATTTTGGGAGAGTCAGTAATGAGCAAGGTCCTATATAGAGCAGATAATGGCTTATCAAGAGTACCTTGAGATAAAAGGTCTTCCACAGGATTCGTCCGGAGGAGGGGTTGGGTAGGAAACTGACATCTGGCAGCATGATGCAATTGGATATAATGAAAAAACATCCAGCCTGGTATCTGAAACAACTGAGAGAGCTGAGAGAAGGTCAGCAAGATGCCCGCAGGCATAATATCATGGAGAGTCTTCACCTCGTATCGCGCCAACTGTTTTTTATTTTAATTTAAAAAATAGCATTTACAATCACTTAAATATAAATATGTCTTTTTTATTTGAGCAATGAGACTGTATGTGAGCTTTACAGTGAATCACTGCACATCCAGTCTGTCAGGGCTCCCAGGTGTGACCAGAGGTGTGTGACTGACGCAGGGAAACGCAGACTTCAGATATGTGATAAACAATATAATTTATTAACACTAACCATACAAACATAAACGCAGTGCAATACTAAAACATAATACAGAGCAAACAAACCAAACCAACCACCCACAGATAACAGTACATACAAGCAAGCGTCGTCAGGCAGGCGGGTCAATATCAATAGGGCAGGTAGGTACAGGGGGAGCAAGCGAGAGATGGGTCGGGGTCACAAGCCAGGTTCAGCAGGTAGCTAGCAGCGTAGTACAGAGGGTCAGGCAGAGGGATGGTCAGGGTCACAAGCCAGGGATCAGAACAGGTAGCAAGCAGCGTGGTACAGAGGGTCAGGCAGAGGGATGGTCAGGAGCGAGCCGGGATCAGAGCAAGAGAAGTCAGCAGCGGTTCAGATCAGGCAGGGTCAGCAAAGGAACAGAAACAGGATGCAGGACAGATACAGGGCCCAGGACAAACACAACACCAAGGCAGAGTCTGCAAGTCTGGCCATCCCTTAAATACACCAGTATCATCAGTTCCAGGTGTTAGCTGGCTGAAAGGTTGAGTCTCTGATTGCTGGGAGCACCCGCTGGCCAGCCCTGGTACTGCAGATCAAAAGGCAGGTGAGTCCCACCATTGCTGGCCAGTCCATTCCTGACAGTACCCCCCCCTCAAGGAGCGGCCTCAGGACGCTCCAAACAGTCCTAGCTGGGCAAAATGTTCCACCGCCCGGGTCTGGTAACTGGCGGGATATCAAAGACTGGCACACCGGGCAGGACTCTGGGCAGCGGCACACCGGGCTGGACTCCGGGCAGAGAGGCACACCGGGCTGGACTCCGGGCAGAGGCACACCGGGCTGGACTCCGGGCAGAGGCACACCGGGCTGGACTCCGGGCAGAGGCACACTCGGGCTGGACTCCGGGCAGAGGCACACCGGGCAGAGGCACACCGGGCAGAGGAGGCACCGGGCAGAGGCACACCGGGCTGGACTCCGGGCAGAGGCACATCGGG